TTTTATAGTTAGAGCTGTGAGAGAAATTACCCAAACTGCATATTCAGACACTGGCTTCTCTTGCAAGACTGGCATTTGCTCGTCAGGCTTTTCCAGAAAATTATTGTGATGTTATTTAAAGCAGTTGCTCTTCTCATGAAATGTGTTTTGGGGAAGAAAAAAAAAAAAAAAAAGTAGTAGGTCCTTGGAGTATATGCAAACTATCAATGAAACTAAAGGAGCCTTTAATTGGAAGCTTCAGGTTAATGAGGAACTACAGTTGAGCTTCAGCAAATGGGTGGGTGTCTGTAATTGCAATACAGTTGTGACCATGCTGAGAATAAATGGCAGTGGAAAAAATCTCTGGCTGCATTTTTAGTATTCAATGTTAGGAGTTTATGAGAAAAGAATAAAAGATCAAGTATTTGTAGCTTTGCCTGGCAGCAGCTAAGAGAAGAACATCATTTATCTGCAAGCAGAGCTTGGTAAAAATTACTCAGCACTTAGTAGCCTGAGGACAGAGCCTGCTAGCCAAGATGAAAACCAGCTGTGCCACTATACTCTCTAAAGCAGGAGAGTGGCTGATTTTCCCTCTAATTATAGTTCCTGAGACAGAAAGGGGAAAAAAGATATGAGCGCATAGACTTTTCAATCTATATCACATTTCCTGTGGGTGTCGGAGGGAGACTGGAGAGTCTGACCCGTAGGGTAACTTTTTAATTATCTGTATTTATGGATTCAGTCCCCGAGTACTGTATCCTGCATAAAATGGGGTGAGGAGGGATCTGCTTTCTTTTAGCAGCTTTTACAAGTTTTGTTCTTCCCTCCCTTTCGTGGTTTCTCTCCCTGATTTTGTACAGCTCCTCTTTTCTGTCCCTACAGCAGCAATCCCGAACCATCCCAAGAGTATCTTCTTTCCCAGCCTGCTGCTAATTAGTGAATGAGTTTGGTTAGGCAGGTGTTTTAGATATAATTAGGTTGTAAAGTTAATAGCACAATGAAATAAGCATAGGCTGAGAAGTTCATATGTCTGTTAGCTATTATTCAGGCTTTCTGCAGATGTACGGTATAATTTCAGTGAGCAATCTAGTTAATGTGGCAGCCTAAGATCTTGTTTGAAATTATTTGTACCACACTAGAATTTAGGAGCTTACTAGGACAACAGAGGGTGGGGAAAATCAAAAGTAAACAAATACCTTTGGCCTAGAGAGCTTATGAAGGACTGGATTCAAAGTCTTTCAAATATCAGTGTGTGCGTGGAGCTGTCTGGTAACAGTTTAACATGTGCATTTCATTCTGAAATAAGACTGCCATGATTCTGTTTAATTTAATCCACTCTGGATTAAATGAAACAGGAACAAGATGTATCTTCTTCTGGAATAAGCAGGACAAGCTCTGTTTATATACAAGAGATTTGAAGCCCCTCTGGCAGGTTCTTTAATGGAATTCCTGTAATAGGCCACTGGTGAGCTCAGCTGTCTACTCTTCATGGGAAAAGACTGAGAGTAGCTACAGCCTTCGTTCCTTCCGTGACCATCCTCAAGAAAAATAAAATACAGTGAAGCTGACATACTGATGCAACTGTTAGCCCTTTAAGGTGTTGTGATCTGCTCATTTTTTGTCTTTATGAGGTTAAGGAGAGAGCTGTGAGGCAACACGAGAGGTACTGGAGCTGCCTGCCTGCACTGGTGATGGAAGACAGAGCTGCACGTATTTCACAGGTGACATTTGCAACCAGTCAGTCTAGAAACCCACCTGAATGAGAGCACGGGTTTTTCTGGAGTTGGTATGTTGGGGTCCCTGCCCCCTAAAAAGAGAAACCCACTTCTGTTTATTAAGAAACTGAGTGCTTGAGAAATACCCTTAGCAGCAAAAAGCTACTGTTGTTAGTGGTAACATGACTGCAGCGGGAGGACATCACTGGAAAAGATGTGGGCTGCAGTTCAGGGTGGTGCTGGGGGCACCACCCCCCAGCCCTGTTTCTTCCCTCTGCCTTTTCCAAAGGCCCTGTGGCCTGGAAGAGGAAGAGCTGGGGAACATTTCTACAGCACAGGTAGCAACTGCACCGGCATCTGCTGGACAGGGCTCCCCAGCTGCCCTTTTAGACCTCACAGGCTCTGTTCCATAGATGTGCTCTTTTTGCTCCATCTTCTTCTACAGTTACTAGCTGTCTGTCTTCACTACACCAATCTTTTCTTGCCCAATGGACTTAAATAAATAACCAGTTACAAACCTAATGAGGCACTTGCTAAGAGCTCTGTAATCCTGCTAGTGCCCTGTCTACTCTTTCTTCTTCTGCCCTTGAGAAGAGAAGGACAGGGGTTCACATCTACCTTGTTAGGTCCTGAGTTATTCTCCGGAGGAGCCTACGTTGGCTGTTCTTAGGAAAGGCAAATTGCACAGTTTGAAGGACAGAAGCCCAGCTGGTGTGTTTGTACAGCACCTGGCGCGACAGGGCCCCGAGCAGGGTGCGCACCTCCGTACTTCTTCAGTTTGTATGAAACAATGGGCTCGCAGGGGAAAAGCAGATAAAGGGAAGGAGTGCTTCTCCACAGAGGCAGTCCGGCAAAGTAAATACACCGTAAATGATGCAGAACAGCCAAAGTTTGCTCTTTTATTTTTTTTTTTTTTTCTCTGAGAGCCATATGAATTACAACACATCCTGAAGCTGGAGCCAAGTGCTGTGAGTAGAAATCAGTTCTTAAGAATTTTTTGTCTTTACCTGCAGTTGTTCAGATCTTCCAATCTTCTGCCTTTCCTCTGCCACAAACACACACGCACACACACAGAGGACATACAAGTCTATGCTTAGACCCTCGAATAAACTGTGATGAGGAATGTTCACAGTTCCCCTTATTTTGCACTTTGGGGCCAGGATCTTTTGGCATGACTGTCCCATTTGGGCCAAAGACTTTGGAACTTTCCTACCTTGGAAAGAGGGAGGTGGCATATCTGAACTTCATTTTAGTTTCTGTTCCTGTACTGATTGCGTTACCCCACATGTGACACACTTTGCCTCACATACTTTGTATGACCTATTCTACTTTCCGGCACCTTCTTCCTTGCATGATCTTTCTGCTTTATTTAAAAAGACCCAGAACATCCAGCTGCCAATATATCCCTCTGCCAGAGAAGCGGGCTCCTCCTAGCACCCTGCCCCTTTGTTAACCCTGACGTGCCAGCTTATAGACCTCCTGGCACACAGTCGCAGAAGAAAGCCTTCCTCTTTGGATGCCTAAACAGATCATGAAGCTTAACTGAATGCAGTTTGGGTGTGGATCTCAGGGGATCCCTTTTTCTGTCTGGATACCTGTGGCTTTCTTGTGCTGAAGGGACTCTAGCATACATGAGCCACTGGCCAGCAAACCTGTGTCTCTGGGAGCTACCTGCACTGTCCACGCTCCAGGCGTGGACTGGAAGGCTTTGCTAGAAAAGGAGAGGGGGAGAAATGTATTGCTAAAGGATACGCTCTACAACACTCTTGCCAGATTTGACAGCACAAAATTTAATAGAGGCTGAACTGGTGGAGTTTAGTTGCTAAAGAAAGCCAAGGAGTTAGCACAGCTTAGACCACCATTGTTAAACACACTGCCGTTGCCATTAAATCTTTGTCTAGACAAGGCCACGGGTATGGGGTGTGCTGCTGAGCCCTGCTCACTCGCAGCATTAGGTTCAAAATGATTGAGCAAACCACATCCTCACGCCCTGGCGCTGCATGAAACTGGAATAACATTGGAGATATGAAAATAGTGTGTGAAAAGCCCAGACCTCCCACTGCGCTATAGGAATTCCTTTCAACGTTCGTTCTGCCGTCCAAAATACTCCCGTGAAATCTCTCCCCCGAGTCACTTTACTCCGCAGCGGAGAGAGCAATTAGTTTTAATGGCATTAAATGGATCTCCTCGTGATGCAGGGGTCGCACCACCAAAGCGAAGGCGCGGGGCGACGTGTTTGGCAGACCACCTGCCTCGCGTCCGTGGTTGCGGCCCTGCCGCCCGCCCCGCGTTGGGGCTGGTGGGAGCCCCTGTCGCGGCCGCGTGGGGAACTGTGGAAGGAAATCAGCTGGCTTAGGCGGAGGCCGGGCGGCGGGAGGCCGCGCTGCGCGCCCGCGGGAGGGGGGGACGCCTGTTCCCCAAGCGCCCGAGACCCGTAAATCACAGGCAGCGCCCACACACCAAGGGCGGTTCAGGCACCGAGCGGCGGGGCTGGTGGGCGACAGCTAGGCCGCTGCGTGGGCCCATGGGGGGGTGGGCTGAGGTTCACACCGGTGCCCAGCTGCTGTCGCGATTCCCGAGGGGCTGTCGGAACGGCCGCGGCCTGCGGGTAGCGGGGGGGGGGGGGGGGACGACAGGGGACGGGACGGACGACTCGCCCGCAACCAAAATGGCCGCCGCCGCTTCGCGGGCCGCGCCCCCGCGCCTGCCGCCCCGCCCTCCCGCGTCGTCCCGCCCGCCGCTAGGGGGCGCGCAAGGCAGGGGGCGGCGCTCCGCCCGCCCGGACTCGGCGCTGCCGGAAGCGCGAGGCGGCGGCCGCGCTGTGAGGGAGGGAGCGGCCGGCGGGGCCCAGGAGGCGCCTCCCCCTCCGCCCCCCCCCCCCCCCTCACCTCACCTCACCCCCCCACCCGGGTCGGGGCCGGCGGGGAGCAGGTGGGGAGGGGGCGTCCGTGGGGGTGGGCAGGGCAGGGCAGGGGGCGAAGGGGGCTAATGGCGGAGGCGGGTAGTGGAAGGTGGCGGGGGCTAATGGCGGAGGGCGGCGGGGGCGGGGGTGCCCCGGGCCCCGCTGCTCCGGGGTGCCGGGGCCGGGCCGCGGGCGCTCAGGCCCCGCCGAGGCCGGGCAGGCAGCTCGGGCTGCAGCCGCTGCCACCCCCGGTGCTGCCGGCGAGGTGCCTCGGGACAGATCCTGCCAGCCCGGGCTCGGGAAACGGTGACACTGCCCTCCCTCCGCGCGGCGGGGGGGTAAGGGGGGGGGTGCGGTGCGGTGCGGTGGGGGCAAAAGCTCGCCTTTTCGGGAAAAAAAGAAAAAAAAAAAAAGGAAATGCTGCATTGGTGGCTGTAGTTGTGCCGAGTGCGGCGTAGGCAGCGGCGTTTTCCCGGCAGCTGGTGTTAGGCCGGTGTTTGTCGGGGAGCCCTCCGTGGTAACACGCGTGATCTTTCCCCACGGCCGGTGTCCGGGGTTGAACTGTCCTTTGGAAGGTGCAATAAAATCACGCTTCCTTTCCCGGAGAGGCTGTCGCCTGTTGAGTGGGTGCCTGTCGTGGCGCTGCCGGACATTTGCAGTTGCCGTGTTGGGAGATCTCTGCCTTCGGGAGCAAAGCTCCAGTCACCGCTGGCAGCGGCTTCCAGAGGCTCTGCTGGCGTGGGGGGCGGTGTGCAGGGCGAGTGGAAAGACGGGAACTGCTTCCCTCTTAGCTGTGGAGTGACAGGGTTTGGTGTGTGTGTTTCAGGTGGGTACCCCATATGTGGGGTGTTATCACTCCACAAAGCTAAATTGAAATTCCAGCTCTTAACCCCGTTTAAGGTAGCGAATCTAAATTGTGCATAGCTACCTGTCCCTCTGGCTTTCCCTGCCAGGCTTCTCTCCATCTCAAGGTGCACTGTGTGTTGCATCTAATGTTCATGTTAACAATTTATTGAAAATAAGACATTAAAAGATTATAATGTGGATAACTCAATCCACAAAGCATCGTGTGGTCCTCACGCAGAGTAGTTGTGTGGCTGACAGTTTATCTTCAGCATCGGAACAATCCTGCCATGTCTTTTAGCCACACCTAGGCGTACGCCTTTACCAATGTTTTTACCTGCTGGAGTTTCAATAGCCAGTGTGTTTTGGAGTGCTGTGGAAAAAAAAAAAAAAAAAAAAAAAATCAAGCGTTAGTTGTGCAGAGCTGACGTGTTCCTGAAAAGCGTGGCTCGTGGCTCCCCAGGTTGCTGTTGCCGCTTGGTTGTTGGAAGCTGCTCGCTGGAAGGTGCTCGGTGTTTGATACTGAGAGTAGCTCCTCCTGAGAGGCGGGTTACCTGGAGCAGGGGATGCTTGTTTGGAGCTCGTTGGTGTGCAGTGGCACTCAAGTCGATCGCAGTTATCTGAACGACTGATGTCACGATATTTCTGAACCGTGGGCATCTCTGAAGCCAAATTTGTAACGGGTGAGTATGTCCATGTGTATTTGGAGGAATGAGAGGCACGGGGTCAGTTCGGATACCTTTAGCTGTCCTATGCAACATCTGAGAAGTAATTACAGCAGAGCTAGCAGACAAAGCAAAGCAGAGAAGAGCAGAAAATGCAGATAAATGCACTGAGCTGTGCCCAGGAGGAGCGGGCGTTGCGGTGGCACACAGGTGTGGAAGGTTAGCCCAGAGCGAGCCAGAGCAGAGCTCCCAGGGACCGCCTGGAGAAGAGCCCTTCATCTCGGGGCAGCGTGAATGCTCTTGTGCCACCGAGTTCACAAGAAAGTCCTTTTTGGAAACGTGTGTAACGGCTGCATCGTGTTTCCTTTTCACCTGTTAGCTCCTCTGTGTAGTGCTGGGAAGCTGCGGTTTAGACTTCTGTAGCTTTCCCTTTATTTCTTAGAGGTCACATTAAAGGAGTCAGCACTGAAAAGGTACAGATGCATTCGTGGCACTAGAGGGGAGAGAATGATAGCAGGTTGCATGGTCTGTAGTTAATTCAGTGTTAGATTTTAGGTGGATCGGGACACGCAAACTCAATTAAAAAAACCCCCACAATTTCAGAGTGTAGTGGGTGTTGTACACTCTGGAGGGTTAAGGTCTGTTCACATCCAGCAACCAAGAGCTGCCGTGTGTTCTGGTTCCCATATCTAATGTGTTCATAGGGCTCATTCTGGCAAGAAGCACAGCTGGAGTTGTAGCTACCTGTTTGTCACAGAACAGTTAGCTAACAAGGACAGTTAAATGATGTGTGAGCAGGGATTAGTGTGAAGCTTATTAAAAGGCAGCATTCTGCTCCTTCCCAGTGCTCGTATTGACTAGGGGATTGTGCAACTGGTATATTTACATTTAATACAAACATCAGATCATAACATGTTTAAATATAGGACACTTGTGGGAAAGATTGCAATCATTTAGGTAACTAATTCTTAGCTGAAGTAGCGAAAAGAAGCCAGGAAACCTAACAGACCAGCTCTCTCTCTCGAAGGCTCCCAGCACTGCTCCTGGGAGGGCTTGAACTAGAGCTGTGGGAGAGGGGCTGGAGCAGCAGCTTTGCTGGGACAGCTCTGTCAGGGAGCTGAGACACTCCCATGTTGTTGCCCTCCTGAAGCCTCAGGTCACGGCTGGAAACAACCACCCTAAAGCGATTCTCCAGGTGCAAACCAAATGCTTGAGGGTGAGCAATTTTTTTTTCCCCACTTTTCCTGAAAACTGAGGTTTTGCTCTCTCCTCCTCTCATTACTAAAGATTGTTTGCTAACGTCTGTGTACAGACTGGTATGCAGGGTCTTGCCTGTCGCCTGTGATCACAAGCCTGATCGCAGAGCATACGCTCGGTCAGTGTTTTCTAAAAGAGCCTCTGCAATCAGCGTGTTTGTTTTACCAGTTTTGTATGCGAGGAAGCTGCACAAAAATCTGTGTCAGCCTCTTCCTGACAGAGGCTGTGGGAGGAAGGAAGGGTTGGCAGGCAGATGGAATATTTGTCAGATGGAGAGAAGGTAATCGGAGGGAGGGGAGAAGCGTGCTGCTGGGGGAGGTTACCTGACTGAAGCTTCGATGACATCCCCTGTGGCTTGGGGAGTTGAGGAATGGCTGTGTTTAAGGGGGGGGGGGCTCCTTTTGCCTGAGGGCAGTGACAATCACAGTTCCTAACTGCTGACTGTGCTTAAGCCAAATTGAACCTCTGGAGCAGGGTGTCTGCATGAGGGGGGGTGTTGCTGGATCCTGGGTTTGGTGGATTCTCGCTTTGGTAGCCAGGTCAAGGACTAGTTGTGGATGCTGTACTCTTTCAGGTCTGGTGGCGATGCTGACACAGACGCCAGCGCAGTCCTGGTTCCACAGCTAGAGAGAGAGCTGCTTGCTTGTTGGTCTGAACCCTTTTGTGGGCATTTGGTTTACTTTACAAAATAAACGGTGGAGATTTTATTCTTGTCCTTAAACCGAAGGAGAGGATACTGGCAGGAGGGGGATTCTTCATGGCTGTTTCATCCTTTGCAGAAAATGCTCTGAAGACGAACTGGACAGCGCCCGCCGGGACTAAAGCCGTCTGAAAAAAATCATCCTTCGCCCAAAGGCCTGTTTGTCATCCAGAGGGAAGAACCTCTACAACGGCTGAACTCTGCGAGTGATGGGCTCGGAGAACAGCGCTTTAAAGAGCTACGCCCTAGAAGAGCCGCCGTTCACACTGCCAACTGGACACACGATTTACCCAGCCGTGCTACAAGATGGCAAACTCGCTTCAGTCTTCGTGTACAAGCGAGAGAACGAAGATAAGGTCAATAAAGCTGCCAAGGTACTGTGGGACGGATTGGTCAGGGCTGTCCCTCCTTTATCTTGGAGGGGTGGGAGTCGGCTAATGAGGGTCAAATCCTTGTAGGGAGCAAGGGCAGGAGAGAAGGTCGAAGTTGGCCCTGGCTGCAAACAGCTGCCGTGCAGGGGGAAAAGGGGGTTCGGCAGCTGCGGAGCTCGTCGGGCGCCGCACGGTGTGAGCAGTGGTGGGAAGTGGTGTTTGGACAGAGATATCTGCGTTACTTTGCAGACCACCGGTCTCTTCCTGCAGATGGAAGGCACAGAGTCTTTCTTGGGTGGATCCTACTCAAAATACAGTGTTTATTCTGTGTAAGACTTGGTGTCTAGGTGTGTGGTAATAAGTTCTGCAGTGAGTGAGTGTGGCGAGTGCTTGGTGGAGAGCAGGGATGGGCTGTCTAAATTCGGGCAGGAAAAAATGGCTGAAAGTACAAGGCTAAGCTCTGCAGCCAGAAGAGATGCCTTGGATGAGATTTAACAGATGTCTTTGTTCCTGGAAGCACCTGAAAACCTTGCGCCACCCTTGCCTTCTGCGCTTCCTCTCTTGTACTGTGGAAGCAAATGGGATCCACCTGGTTACAGAACGCGTGAAGCCTTTGGAGACGGTCCTGGAGACGCTCTCTTCCTCAGAAATCTGCGCGGGGATCTATGACGTGTTGCTGGCGCTCATCTTCCTCCATGACAGGGTGGGTACCACCAGCAGCAGTCATCAGGCTTTGGTGGGAGCCAGACGAGATGTGACAGGAGAGCGTTGTACCTGGGCTTGCCCAGGTGACTGTCTCATTCCTGATTCCTCACAAAAAGACAGACACCCCCACCCCCCCAGTTCTTTTAGGTTGAAACTGCTAAACTCATTGGCTGCTTCGTAGGAGGAAGGGTAATTGAAAATGCTGTGGGTTTTGGAATTAAGGGAGCAGTTCTCAATTCATGCATGGACATCTGCTTGCAGTGCTGCTTGCTTTAGGGAGATGGGATTGCTCGGCCTTGGCATTTATTTACAGCTGTCGCCACGTGTCGGAGATCGGTGTCACCGCTCCCCTGTTTTGGCACTGTGTGTGTGTCCAGGCCTGCAGTTAAATCCCAGCTCAGACTGTAGCTTTTGGGCTTTGTGTTCATAGTTGGAGGTCTTCTCTGGATTTAACAGTTGCATTTCGAGGGCTGTGACAATTACAGCTTTGTCTGCTCTAAAACCCTAGCCCTTCTGCCTGATACCTTCTAGTCACCTCCAAAATCCCGAAGGACCTTTAGAATGATCTGCTTTTTGGCACATAGCATCATCATTTTATAACTTCTTCTATCCTCAAGTCTGTTATCTTAATTTTTTTTTTTTTTTTTGATGTTTTAGGGAAACCTAACTCATAACAATGTCTGCTTATCATCCGTGTTTGTAAGTGAGGATGGGCACTGGAAGCTGGGAGGAATGGAAACGGTGTGTAACTTCAGTGAAGCCACCCCAGAGGTAAGAGCCAAGCAGAGCGCACCCTCTGCCTCCCAGGAGAGGGCCCCTGGCCACCTATGGGTGTGAAGCCCCAAGTCCTTCCAGTTATCTGAATTTACTATTAAGTGTGTTGGCTCACTTTCAGCTCTGACCCGAATCTTAGCTCTAAGGACACCATAACTATAAACTACAGTGTCTACGCAAACAGAAACTAATTCCCCATTAGCCAAAAAGCAGCTACTTTTCTGAGGGAGACTGCTGGCTGGAGGGTGGGTTGAGACTGGGGAGAGTGAGAGAGAAATCTTTGCTCCTCTGGACTGATGTAAAAGCAAATTAAAAAAAAAAAAAAAAAAAGCTTTTGTGTGTAGCAGTAAGATCCAGGTTGGAACGAATCGATAAGGAAAATAATTTAAGTGACTCCTTAGCTTTTGCTGCTGGCATCTTCACTGCTTGTTACTGGTCTTAGCAAAAAAATTTGTGGTTTGATTTCTGCTGCATGCTGTGCAGAGTCATTGCTGCAGCCTGGCACTGTGTTGGAAATGTATCTTGCCTTTTCTCCCAGAGGATCCACAAATCCTTCACGAGCTGTATTGAGTGTCCCTGGCGTGTATCGCCTTTCAGACGGGATCAGGCAGACGCGCGACTGGTGTGCGTGGTGGTGCACAACAATGCAAAGAGCGTGGCAGTAAAACCTGACTGCTAAAACGCGAGGCAGCTCATGTCTCCCCTCTTCTCCTTCCAGTTCCTCTGTCATGTCAGGTCGGTACGAGACCACTCATGCATCCCTTGCGAGGAGATGGTGAGTAACATCGCTTGCTGGAGGAACTTCTTGCTGGCGACAAATAAAAGTGTGATAGTTGGGAAATAGTTTTCATTCGCAGGTTTTATATCCTCACACCTGATTGGGAGGACGTAGCTGTTGGATAATGTCTGAGGTTTACTCTCTCTCTTTTTCCCCTCTTCTGTCCTGTTCCCTGCTTTGGGGATGGTGTTGGGCACAGGGAAGTGGAATTCTGACTGAGGAGAGATGGAACAGCAGGTTGTTGTAGTATTTTTCAAACGCTTTGTGTCGCGGCTTTAATGCTTCTAAATCACCAAAGCTTTGCAAAAATTTCAGAGTGGTTGTCGAGGCTGCCCAGATCACCCTGGTCACACGGGCGTGTAGCTCGTGCCAGCCCTTGTTTCACTTGTTGGTCACCTCCTATCCATTAAGCGTCCTCTGAGTTGCTTATGCTAAAGGAGTGCTCTTTCTCTCTCTAATTATCACCTGTTCCCATAGAAATGCTGAAAGCTGTTGACCTGCAACTGCTGTGTGCATTCCTTGGGGAATTATTTCATCATGTTGTAGTTGCTCCTTCAGGTTGTAACTTCCCCAGTGGAGGTTTTTTTAGCATAATATTCTACTTGTAGTGTACTTAGTGGAGCTTTGCTGCTATAAAAAGAATTGGGGAGTGTATATGGCAGGGGGCAGGAACAGACGTTCACGGAAACTACCAAGTATTTCATCAACTCCTGCTCTGCTGATCTTTTTGGTTTTATTTTCAGTCCGCAGATTTCAAAATTCTGCCCAGCAGCTATGGGCACGCGAGGGATGCCTACGCCTTCGGAACAATGGTTGAAAATCTCCTGACGGTCCTAAACGATCAGGGTGAGGAAGGACGCGTGTTTGTTTCACTATCGACCGGCCTCCGTAGCTCGTTCCCTGCGTGCGCTGAGCCATTTGCCTTTTGTGGCAGCCGGCAGATGTGCCACAGGTTCAGTGGCCACTGCTGTTCCTCACGCTTGCCCAGTTAAAACGCAGACTTCGGCTTCTCCTCTGTTCCCCTTTTCCTGCATTTGCCCGTGGTCAGATGTGGCTGGAGGTCACCAGCCGCTGTGGGACGAGCGCTCTCCAATCTGCTCTGCAGCGCTCGGAGGGTCGCTTGGTGCTGCCCCACCAGCCGCTTCGGCAGGGGTCGCGGGCGCGTGGGTGCCGGGTACCACAGCTGAGAGGCAGCAGGAGGCTCCCAGCAGCTTAGAAGAGAAGTAGAGATGCTGTTTTCCTTTCCTTTAGGGACAAATGTGAGCAATTTTGCTATCGACTAAAGCTAAAAATAAGTTTTGGGGAGGGTGGAGGACTCCTGGACGTAGCTTGTTCAGTGCCGAGAGAGAAATCTAACTGTAGGTGCTCTGGATTTCAGTTTCAGCAGATATTCTCTCCAGTTTTCAGCAAACCTTGCGCTGTACACTGCTGAATCCAGATCCAAAGTGTCGTCCACCACTGTCCGGCTTACTGTCTCACGAGTTCTTCAGGTAAGGAAAGGAATATCCTGCCTCTCTTGGTACCACTTCGTACTGCTTATTTCCATGTTGCAAATGTGTTAATTTGGTGAAGGTCTGTTGCTTACCAGGCGGGAAGTGCAGACTTAATCCCTGCCTCTTACAGGGATCTTTGATAAAGAGGGTCCTTAGATGAAGACAATTAAAAAAGCATACCAGCCTTCCAAATGAGGCCCTGAGCCAGCAGCGGTGACAGAAGTGTGTCCCTTAGTCACCCAGAGTCACTTGGATCTCCCCAAGCTCATGGGAAGTGACGGGAAATGCTCTGGAAAATAAAATCATTAGCGATACCACTGGAGGGAAGCAGGCTCTGAGATAATCCACCCAGAGCTGTGCGTGCTGTCGCCCCGGTGCCTCTCCAGCTGGTGGCATTAGTGCAGGGTGGCACTTGGTTCTCCTCGTCTCACTGAAGGTGGCAGGCGGTGGCTGATCCCGCGTTGCCCAGGGCTCCCCGTGAGTTCCTGACTTCGAAGCGCAGCACTGCGGCGGGCGCAGCTTTCGGTAACTGCTCGCCCCCTCCGTGCTGGCCCTCGCGGCCCACCGCCGTTTGACTGGTGTCCCTCTGCCTGGTCCTCTCTGCCGAACGCAGGACGGGGATTTGCCGTCTCAGTTGTGGGTGGTTTAAGCGTCAGTGAGGATCGCGCTTGACAGCTGACGTTTTTGTGCTTAGGAATGATTTTCTGGAAGTTGTGAATTTTCTGAAGACCTTAACGCTAAAGTCTGAGGAGGAGAAAACTGAATTTTTCAAGTAAGTTGAAAGAGCTGTAATCTGGAAGCTTCTTATTTCAGCAATACTTCTGCTGCATGGGATTGAGGGGGGACCTGGGAAGGCTCGTGGCCAGAGGGGTAGTTCCTCAGGTGGTTGATTTTGATTGCTCTGGCAGAACGTTGTTTGCTCTCTCATATTTTGGGTACTCCAGCCAAAGCAATGATTGCGTCAGGGAGGAAACCCTTCACTCCCTCCTGACTCCCCCCTTTCCCAGTTTCTCGTGAGTGGGTTGGTGTTTGGGAGGAGCGGTACCTGCCGGGCTCTGCACCATCCCCATACTCGCCAGCCTGCAGGGTGACGCTGTGCGCGGCCGGCAGTGTCTTCACCTGCCACACACCAGTTGCTGTCACTGGAGAACCACCGCAGCGACATGTGTCGCTCCAGGGCTGCTTTTCTGGGTCCTGTCTGGTGGCGAGCAGCTGGGTTGAACTCCTGAAGGGCCAAGCACAGCAGCTTTCCCAGGAGTACAGGGATATAAAAAGGAAAGAACTTTTCCATTGTCTGTGTTCTGAGGGAGTTAATGCACTTTGTGGGGCGTGATGCTTGATGCTGTTAGCGGAAGTTAAATTATTCAGGTTCTCCTCTACCCTGCTTTAGCAGCACTGTCCCATCTCCCAGTGCACCTCGGCTAAGCAGGAACCACTTGAAAAGCCCGTTCCCGTGCCGGAGCGTTGCAGTAGAGGAGGGAGCTCGGCCTAACAGCTCATCTGCTCAAGCTCTGCTGAACAGCTCCTCGCTGGAGCTGTCCCGGGCCCCTCTTGCTTTACACAAAGGCTGTCTGCTTGCTCAGTTTCAAAATACTCCTAAAATATCAGAGAGCTTCTTTTAACGTGCTGGAAAAAACCCACCTCTCCCTTCCCTCATTCTTAGAAGTCGCTTTATTTTAGAAGCGACTTTGCAAATAAGGGAATTGTAGCACCAGGCACCTCTTGAGGCTGGAAATTTTTTTCCAGTGAGGCAGATCTTGTAAACTGCTAATGAGAGAATTTTCAGTGAGACATGTTGGGTGAATTAATCTTGTGGTGCCAGCCCTGTCTGTGTAAAGCTGCTGTCTGTGGTGGGTGTCTCGGCTGCAGTATCTGCAGGAAATCCTATTGTCGTGGTCCCCAGGAAGTTTTCTGTAAAGGAACCTTTCATGTAGTCATCTGGGCCTGAAAAAGGGAAAAGCTGAATTTTTCTTTTTTTTTTTTTTTTTTTTTTTCCATGTAGAAGAGCCTGGCTGTTCTTACAGAGCTATCGTCCTGCCTGGTTTTTACTTCTGTGGTCACCATCAGTTGTAACACGAGTTTGATTTCATTACTTTGAGACTAAGTGGAGGAAATAAGAACAGAAAGTGGGACGCTGGCTCTAGGAGATGAGGCAGACACAACAAGAGGGGAGAGTGATACTAAGGGAAACAGTCGCACGTGCATGGAAGGCTACCTTGACATTACTTGCTCTCTCCTGCATCGCAGGTTCCTGCTGGACAGGGTGGCTGGCTTGTCAGAGGAGCTGATAGCGTCACGGCTGGTGCCTCTTCTACTCAATCAGCTCGTGTTTGCAGAACCCGTAGCTGTCAAGAGTTTTCTTCCTCATCTCCTGGGTCCAAAGAAAGGTGACCTTTAAATACTTTCTCTCTTCCCGATTACTGCTGACAAGTTTGGAATGAATTCAGAGTGGTTGTTCTGTTGAATCAAGGGAGCAGGGGTGTTTATTTAACCAGAACAACTACGGCAAAGGGCAGTTAGGGGTGCTTCCCCGTTGGCAGTACTTTCCCCTGCTCTGCTGATGCTGGGACAAGAATTGGAAATTGCCTGGGCTCTTTCCCAGGCTTGTGTGTCACCCCAGGCTTTCCCAGGGGCTCACTGCATATCCCTCTTCTCACCCTGCCCTGCCTGCCCTTTCTCCTCCTGCCCCTGCACTCACTCTGTAAGGGCGCTCAGTCTCTTCTCCCTTCCTCCATCAGGAGTGTGCAGCAGGTCTTGTGGGATCCCCAGGTAGCTCTGTCCCTCCTGTTGGCCTCCCCCCTCTTAAAGCTTTTCTTAAATAGCTACTGGTGTTCCAGCCGAGCGGTACCTGCCTTGTGCCTGACCTTCAGCGTTCAGAGCCATTGCCATCGAGCAGTGGGACTGGCGCTGCTGCCTCTCCTCCCTCCCACCTCTGACAGCCCAAGCAGGCTGTGTTGGCAGCTGACAGTCGCACCTGCCAGCGGGGTGACACTGTACATCTCGGCTCTGATGGTTTCTCTGTGAGTAGCTTTTGGGTGAGCTGTCTCTCGCTGCCGAAGCAGCCGTTTCCCATCCCCACCTCTCTTCCCCAGAGCAAACTGGAGAAAGCCAGACCAGCTGCCTCCTGTCGCCAGCCTTGTTCCAGACCCACGTCATCCCTGTGCTGCTGAAGCTGTTCGAGGTTCACGAGGAGCACGTTCGAATGGTGCTGCTGTCTCACATTCATGCCTACGCAGAACTGTTCTCTCGGGAGGAGTTGAAAAACATCATATTGCCACAGGTTAAGGACAGCAAAACGATACGTGGTATATCCTAGAATAATCCTACTGCTTGGGTTGGTTCGCAGCTTAAAGTTAAGATCTCGCAGTGCTGGCCACAGACAGTTTGCAACCTCCTCTCTGTGCCAGCCCTAACCCTCGCCCCCCATCCAGATCTGGAGGGCTGGTTTTGTTAAACCCGATGCCCTCTGTCACAGGCGCCACTTGTGCCGATGCCCGGCGGCCTCGAGGGGCAGTGGGGTGTCTGTGTCGGGGCCCCCCCCAGAATTTTCTGTTCTCGGTAACGTCGGTGTGTTCTTCGTGTAGGTACTGCTGGGCCTTCGAGACACCAGCGACTCTATCGTTGCGATAACGCTGCACAGCTTAGCAGTTCTCGTCTCCCTCCTTGGACCTGAAGTTGTTGTAGGTGGAGAAAGAACGAAGATTTTCAAAAGCTCTGCACCGAGTTTCATGAAAACTGCTGATCTCTCCCCGGAAGGTAAATGATACGGTCAGAGCGCTCCCGGGATTCCTGCCCGTTCTGTCCGAGCAACGTAGGCAGAATTTCTTGGGTGATTAATCTGTTGCTGTGGACAGGTTAATTGAGAAAAAAAAAAAAAAAAAAAAAAAAAAAGGCTAATTTGCAGCTTAACTTCAATTCTAACTTAAGTGCTGTTTGCAGATACAGAAATGATATCAGAAGAAGAGTTATATAAAAGTATTTTACATGTAGGAAACATACGGAAAAAAATTTAAATCTCTTCTTCGTTTAAAAATCTCTCTAAGTAAAGGAGATTAAGTGTGTGTGTGTGTGGTGGAAAAACTACTGCCCTTCTAAAGGGCGTACGTACTTATCCAGGCAGTTGTTTAATGTTCCCTCTGTCCTTCGTGTTTTTAAAAACAGTAAATCTCATCCTCTTCCCCCAATTTCTATTCATAGATTGGAAAAGGAATACGAACTTCCCTATTTTCTCAGCTCTCAGGAGGCTTTTCAGCTAATGCAAATGAAGACAGTAGTCCCTGCACGTGCTAGATAACTTGGAACCGAGTGTACTCAGGGAAAGCTTGTCTGGATATTGAAACTAAGAATGCTTATAACTGGAGGGAACAGTCGGCATTTGTTCTGCTTCAGACGTACAGATATTCAATGTGATGCACGATAGACATCAATTTAAGTATAAATGTTTTCTTCCGGATTATGTGTGTACTGAAGGCTACCACCCTTTATTAAAATCTGTGGATGGCTCATTGCATTATTTTTCTTTACATTATTTTAGTGGACTGTAGTAAAAAACCCCCTTTTGGATTGCATGCCAAAAGCAGGTTTATTTTTCAGAATATATTTAAAATGAGACCTGATTTAACTATTGACAAACCACAAAAAAACCCACCTTTGTCCTCAACAGTGAGTGACGACCTGCAAAAAACAGTACTAGAAGCTGAACACGTGAGGATTTTAATAAGCTGTTTGCTTAAGCCCCTAAAAGGATGTACCTTTTGTGGAGGGCCCTTTGGGGAAGGGGGGTGCTGTGTGCTCACCGCAGCCCTTCCCAGTGCTGCAGGCCACACTTTGCTGGTAACTCCGGGCCCAGGTGGGCTCAGCTGACTGGGGACACTGGTGGAGCCCATGGGGAAGCAGCTGCAGCACCGGCCCAAGCCCCGCTGCTGTGGGCTGCTGGCCGAGGCGGGGGGAACCGTCGCCACAGCTCCCCAGAAATGAACTGGACGTGCCAGGCTGCTGCCGCTGGCCCAGGGGAACAAACCAGCCCCACGCAGCTGCAGAGCGTGGCCCTGGCTGCTTGCCCCCTCCCTGCTCAGCCCCAGGGGGAGACAGGGGGCCGGCACACAGCCTCAGGGGCCAGGCTCCTGTTGCTGCGAGCTGCTGTGCTCACGCCCAGGCATAAAAGAGGGTTTGTGTTGCACAAGTATGCTCACGCTTTTTGTTGTTGCGAGTGTCAGTGCTGAGCTTTTGTGAGAGGCAGGTAAGGGGACAGGCCGGGCAGAAGCCGGGGTTTTGCATCCAGCCAGGTGGCAGACAGCATTTGTTTGTTTGGGTTTTTGTTTTTTTTTTTTTTTTATTTTTAAGCATCTGTTCTGATCACAATCGGTTTGTTCCTTGTGTATTTCTTGAAAGAACGTATCAGCAGGAACTCCCCAGTTCCAGTTGCCCAGACTTTGCACTGGCAAACGCTGCCGAGGGCAGGAACAGAGGGACGCTGTGCGCCGCGCAGCTGCGCCTGCCAGCGCTGTGAACGAGAACGTCCCGGTGCTGTGAGCAGTTTCAACGAAGACTGACAACACACCTTGGTGGCCTTTCTTGTCTTTTATCCCTGCAGACTCCCCCAGTCATGTTTTAAGCAATCAGAGAAATCAAACCTCTCGGCCCTTGAAGAACAATTCTAGTGTGTTCCCCATCTCTGGAAGTGTACCTGTCAAGAAGCTTTCTGGGCGACAAGACAATCCACTGGTTTTAAAGACAGGTAAAACTTTGCCCTGTTTCTTACTTTTTAGAAATCAAGTGTACTACAAATTAAATGTTGCTGGAAAAGATTTTAATTTTCCTCATGGGCTGATCTGAAAGAGATTCAGTGAACCAAGGAAGGTAACGGTGATGGAACGAGTGTGACCCTTGACTTCCTAGAGGATCATTATTTGGGAATCTGGCTGCTGGTGGCCAGCCCTGAATTCCTGTTTCCTTAGGGCGGGTTCTTGGCTGTGCTTTTTCACCCCTCCCACAGCTTGGCTAGACCAGATTTACGGATTCTCTGGCTGCAGAGGCTGACTCAGTTTACTTTCGTGGCCTTTTTTCAGTCCCCTGTTGCTTATCAGCAGCCAGCGTTTATTGCCCCAGAGCTTTGAGGTGAACACCCCTCCTCTGCAAGCAGGAAGGTGCCCGTGCTCTCTAACATGAGGAGCTTAGCACTGAAGCATCTTCCCAGGCAGCATTACGGCTTCTTTCCATGCCAGGTGCTACCTGTGATCTCAAGGAGCTTTAGACACAACTCCGTCTCTACGCTTGCCGTCTTGAAATGTGTATGTAACACCGCCTTTGCCTTCCACAGGTGAGCAAGACACTCAGTCCCCCCTGAATGGAATTCCTGGAAGCATTAACGTGCTAGGGAGCAGCAGGAGCTCTTTGACTACCTCCGAAAAGGCCGCAGAGGAGTGGCCAGACTGGAGTGAGCCAGAGGAGACAGACACTGAGAAAACTGTGAACATTCAAATTCAGCCCCGAGAGCCGCAGGGCAACGTGGGACCTTATTTTGCTGAACAGGATGTAGATGAGAAGCCTTGGGATGACGTTGAGCCCAGCAGCCCTAGTCCTGAACTGTCCTCAGGAAACTGCCTCACTGTGACACAGGCTGATGCAGTGGAAACGCCGAGGCCTCTGCCAGGTACCCAGCAACTGAGCAAGGAATTCAGAAGCCTCAGACCCGGTCCCCCCGCAAAGTCCTGCCCCGGGAACAGCTGGAGCAACGGCAAGTGGGAACAGCGGGGAGAAACTGTGCTGCCAAAAATGACCTTTCAGGAAAGGTCGAAGTCATCATCGGAGTCTGGCCTAGGAGAAGAATTCACGATCAAAGTGAAGAGGAAACCCGTGCGAGACCCTGAGCTGGACTGGTTTGCTGACATGATCCCAGACATTAAACCTTCTTCAGCCATCGTGATTTTACCTGAAGCGAGGACAGAGGCCGTTGTTCCCAGTCACTCTGGTGGAGCATCCAGCAGAGATGGTGCCTCCCAGAACGTGCCGTTTTCATCCAAATTTGCAGCAGCTGATGTTATCGAGGTAAGAGGCTACAGGCAGCGGGGGGTTTAAATGACTGTATGCTTGAAAGGATCAACGCAGGGCTGTAGCACCAGCGGGCTCCCTCGGGTGGTGGGTAGCCCGAGGGGGTGGCCACGGCACGCGGCTGCACAGTTGTGTCCTTACCTGTGCGTACAAGATGCTGAGCTCCGAGTGATGCATCTTATCAGGCAGCAGGTAACCGAGTGGGCCCGCAGTGCAGCTCTCCTGCTGCTCTGTCCCTGCGCTACATTAGGGAGAGTCGGGGCTTGACAGGTAAAACAAGGCTGGATCCTGGCTGCTGAGCAGGCGTGGCCCCACGCACGCACACAACGGGGCTTTCGGGCACAGAGGATGCTCAGTGTTGCTCCTGGCTCTTCTAGGAAAACCCAACGGCATTGTAAATAAAGGACCAGGAACCCAAAACCTCTGGATTAGAGAGGAAAGCTTGTTGGGTGCTTTGTTTTCATGAAAGAATAGCTGAGACGTTTCTCCGTTTCAGAGAACCAAGGGGGTTACAAAGACTAGCTTTGTAAATAAGCAGGTAAATCCTTCCAGCCCCCTCACAGAGACTCTGGAGACCGCTTCTGTTTCCTGGGAGGGGAGGCAGCACTCACCACTGCTCCCCTGAACGCGCAACTCCATTGGGGAGTAGGTGTTGATTCCAAGTTGTTTTGCTAATTTGGCCTCAAGAGAGCTGCCCCCGGGGGTAGCAGGTACCACCGGGAGAGGAGCCTCGGATGTGAAGTGAAGAAGTTGTTTACAACATTTGAAACTGGCACACTGTGGTGTGACAGAAGCACTGTTGGCATGCTCTCAGCCCCGCGTGGGGGGTGTCACTGTAGCGCAGTCAGGGCCACGGAATTGCTGGGTCAGTGCAGGGGTGAGATCAGCTGAGTAGTGTTCGAGTACAGCGGGACAGCAGCTGCGCCCTGGGGGAGAGAAATCACCTTGGTTGTAGCAGCCTCTTCCTCGTGGGAGGTGGTTTTGGTACAAACAGTTCTTCCTTTAGTTTTAGGGAAAAAAATTGTAAGATGCTCCTGTTTTTAATGCGTTTCCTTCAGTAGTTAAATGGTCTTTTTAAGACAGAAAGATGCAGATATTGGCACTTCAATTTTGGCACTTCATTTTCGGTCTTAAGGTGTTCTGGGTGAATGCCTTGCTCTGCCCTTGCAAGCTGCTTGGGCTCCTGGGGCTGTGCTAAGGCCAGAAGTACAGTACCTGTGCCTTAATGTTGATAATTTTACGTGATTCTAGGCTGAAGCTGCAGGCTGGGGTGAAGAAGAGGACTTAAACTGGGAAGATGATACTACCTGGTAATGGGACTGAAAGAGACAAAGGCAATTTCTGGTGCGTTGGATTCTGTAAGAGAAGTCGCTGCTTCCCCACTACCCTGGACAAGTACCTCAGCACTGCTTTTGCCAGAAGGCAGGCGCTTGCTGCAGCAGCCAGCAAGATCCCGTGGGGCCTGATCTCCTGCCCTGGCTGCTCCTTTCCAGTCTGTGCCAAAATCTGCAGGGCTGAGGCCTGCGCCCAAGCAATCCGCCCAGCCGGGGGGTGCGGCAGGGGGTGCTGACGGTGCTGCTGGAGGCCCGGCGTGGTGTAAGCGATTGTTCCAGAACTCATCCCTGCTCTGAAAAACTGATGACAATAAATGAAAGTCACACCGACATCCTTCGTTAACGTGCCTTTCTCTCTCTCATTTTTTTCAAGTCCTTAGAAATAGCTCCTTTTAATGTTTTAGCTAAGAGATGATTTTAAGATGAAAGTACAATTTACTTTATTTCTGTTTATATAGTTCTGTCAGTGGAAGGCACAAGAGGTGCTAGGAACGGTGCAGCGAAGGACCACTGAACACAAACCGCTTAAGTACCAATTCCTTCTGCTCTTAACTGTGACCAATAAAGATTATTTTTAAAAGATGACCCTAGCGTGGAGTGGAACGCGCAGCAGGGGTATGTTCAGAGAACAGTATAGAGCCTTAAAGTGGTAATGCTGAGTGTATTTAAAATTAAGATAAAAACACCTACCGCCCGGCCACCTGTACGTGTGACAGGAACAAAAGTAACTGTTACAACAAATTCAAACATTTTACTATTCAAAATACAGTCTCAGGAAATGTTTATCACCATACAGCAGCAATATACAAAAATGACAGCTCAGATGCACAATAGTGTCCGTTAAAATATATCAGTGCAGCCAGGCAGTTACTGTGACAGACAGGCCACCCCCTCACACCTCCGTTCATGGGGGCACATTAACCGAGAGCCGGCGGTACCGCAGAGCATTGCCCCGTGTCAGAGTTCTTTGCTCCTCCAGCACTCCTGGTGCAAAGCCGTATCTCTTCCCTGGGACCAGGGCGCTGAGCTGAGCCCCTTACCGCACCCTGTCTCTGAGGAGGGCTAGAGCTGTGTGCAGAGCCTCCAGCTTCACCGCAAGCCACGCAGGGGGTGACCCTTTCCGGAGCAGCAGCTTCACAGCCTCCACTGCCCCCTCCATCGTGCCTACTGCTGACTTGTACTGCTCCTCAGAGGGTGGGGGACATGCTCTTTTTGCCACAGGCTGCGGATTTAAGTAAACGTGAGACATCATTTATAATGCTCTACAGGAGCGACCAGCCTTCGTCCAAATGCAAGAAGACCCTCAGAGGTAGAGAAGAGCTGCAGGAGACTCCCTTGCCTTGTGAGAGCTCTTGCTGGCTGGCAGGCAGTACGGAGCACTCAGGTATAACATTAAGGGCCAGCAGTGCACGTGACCTTTTTTCTCGTCAGATGGAGGGCGGCCAGACCACCTTGAAGCAATTGAGCTACTTCCCAGAACCGACAGAAATCAACGACAGAGCACAGATAGTTTAAAGAAGTGCACATACCTCTCCTGTTGACTCCAGTTCTCCGTCCATTTTCATAAACTGTGCACTGCAGGTAATCCTTTCTCGCTTCATGCGTTCTGCCCGTGCCTCTGTTGGCTCTTCTGCTTGCCTCGTCTAGGGAGAAAGCCCCAGGAGAGGTAACTAAACCAAGGCGGCATTACCAACCTTCACAGGCTCAATTTGTATGGCAGAACACAGGGGAGGGAGATCTTAACATGCGCTTCAGAGCGCATCTAATTTCTCACACACTCATCTGAGCAGGAGATTGAAGTTATCTACAACTTTGGTGTAGCATTAGCAGCTATCAGTTCTAATTATCTGCTTGTCAAAAACCGCTCATCCAGATAGAAAACTGCTCATCCAGATAGCCCTGCCTTAGGTTTCAGCATAACCACTGCCCCCTCCTTCCCCTTCTCTGTGTTCTGGGTGAATAACCCTTTGCTCTTCGAAAAAATTCTCTTAATGTCCAAAAAGGACTAAGATGTTTCATGTGTTTGTTTAGCTTTCAGAAATTGATCCAAGAGAAACGGGGAAGGAAGTCACACAAACCAAATGATGTCTTTTTAGTAGATAACTTCTCTGCTTACAACAGTAACTGTGCAATTTAATCATTTTTTTTGTTCAAGGAGGGAAAAGCAAAGCACTTAAAGTTGGGAAGTACAGGAAGAGCAGCCTGCATAGGAATGGCAGCTGTTAATTCTGCCGATTAAAGCAAGTAGAAAAGTTCAACCAGAGCCCAGTTAGCAGGACAATTTAAACTCATTTGATCACCGTGCAGATGATGGGAGGTGTAGACATAGGCTGTAATACTGCTTGTAATAGATGTGTACGACATCAACAAAGGGAGCAGTAAATGGTTCAACAATATACATACCTTAGCCAGAAAACTAACAACTTTGTTCTTAGTTTCTTCAGAATTAAGGCACTGAGGAACAACATCTTCATGGCTTGTTTCCTGTCAGAAATGTTGAGTAGAAGTTGTTTAGTACATTCATCTTAACAAAGGAACAGACAAAAAAATATTTCTTTGACAGTCCCTTCCCTGTTGCAGCCAATGCTTAATCTACCCTCACTTCCAGCTCCTGAAATCACTTCCAACTGCATTAGCCCTCATTACATTTGATGTGCTGTAGCATCTGTAATGCTGAGACCCAAACTGGTCAGCGGAGAGCAGCAAACGCTTAAGACAGAATAATTTCCATACAATAGAAGTTAACAGAGCCAAATACAGGCATCCAGAGTTCTGCTGTGCTTACCTCTGCAAAATGTGTGAATGCCTCCAGCGCGTGCTGATGAATCAGCCAGGTCTGGTCAGCTAGCAGAGAAGCAAACAAACCCGACAACTGGGGTACAACTTGCCTCTGAAAGAGGAACAAGTATCTGTCAGTTCCAAAGAGTCAGTTGTGAGTATCTCACCACCATGATTTATTATCAAGATTGGCTCTGAGGTCAAGGAACAGGTTTGTGAAATGTGAGAGTGCTACTGCCCTGTCTGGCAAAAAAAAAAAAAAAAAAAAAAAAAACACAAAAACCAAAACAAACAATGTAAGTGAGGTGACACTTTCTATTTCTTTCTTCTTGGGGGTTCAAACATCAGTCCTTCCTAACTGGTGAGAAGCAGGCAAGCAAACAAATAAACCAAGCGTTTTCCATGCACTCAGCAGGTCTTGATTGAAAATAAAACTGCCATAGACCATTAATGAGTCTCCAAGACAATTATGTCCTGGTGCTCCTGTATGTATTTAATGAACTTGATCCTTTAACTCTGTATTTAAATAAACAGCATATCTTTTCATCAAAAGACTGAAGATTATTTCACTATGGCCACAATTCTATTTACCTGTGCTTCTTGTGGTATAAACACCTTGCCCATAGAAGACAGAAAACCCACCATCGCTAGACGAACGTGATCTGGGGGATCCAGCTGGAAAAGGGAAGACTGCAGTGCAAATACCTGCAGAAAACAAACCCCAGCGAACCTCCATCACACAGACTGCAGGTGGAAACTTCTCTCCCATCTTCAAATCTGATGACACTGATTTTAGAAAACTGGACTGAAAATAAAAGGAGGTGTGCTACACCTTGAATAAAACTGGCTAGGGATAAAGCCACAGTGTGCATTTTAGAAAGGAAGGAGCATGCTCTCTAGCATCTCCATATATCTCTATTATCTTACAGAGTAATGGGATTCTCAAAATGCTCACCAAAGTGCCATATACTTGGTTTAAATACCAGGAAAGTAATTGAGGAAGAAATAAAATTAGGAGCCTCCATGTGTTAAGAGAAGGTCAGACCATGAAATAACTCATTTAGGATTTCAGTAAATCAAAAAGAACTTTGTTTTCGTGAAGTTAATTATTCATAAGAAGGTTTTATTTTGTTCTTTTACCTGAATAATCAGTTGAGCATCTAATGCTTGGATGAAAAATTCCAAAAGGTGAAGTAATAAACACAGTGTCTGCTGGAGACATGGCTCATCTGAGACCTTCAACAGATCAGAAGATACTAGTAAAATTCCATTTTAGCTCATGGAATAACTACTTAAGAAAGAATATAAAGTTACAGTAGTGTTCCAAAATTCTTAGCCTAACTTCACACATATAAAACAACACACTCTAAGCAGCAGAAGAAAATATTAAAATAGTCCTAGGTAGGCATATTTTACAAGACCCTTTTCTTTGATTTTTATTAAGAATATTTCTTATCCCTCATCTCCTTCCTCCACTTGCTAATATAAGTTGCTAAAGGTTATCTAACAATTTCTTTTCACTTATGAGTTGCCAAATGTCTTCACAGAAGGGCTGAGGTTGGAAGAGACCTCTGAAGGGGCATGTTGCTGGCACTTCTTCAACCCCACTCTCAAACATTTTTAATCCAGAGTATAAACCATGGCAATCCTTTTTTCTTTACTGCAACTGCAGACACAGACAACTACACAGTTGCAATGGGATCCCCTTACCCCCTTGTTCTCAAATACCAGAGGGAGGTTAGGAACTCTGTGGGTTTTCGCATGCTAAGCTACGTACTAATTAAATCACCCTGAGTTTTGTTCACATTCTAATGAACATTTGAAATCAGCTAAATTTGTAATAGAATGAGGTATTTCAGCCTTCTGGTTAAGCCAGTCGGAATCTGACACTGAGTAACAGATAGAGTAACAAGGAGCCATATCTGTAACACTCAGGAAAATTCAAACTGGCTTCCCAGAGCAGGCGCCTGCCTAATACAGGAACCAGCTGACAGCAGATGGGCAGCACCCTTACACTGTGCTTTACAGACAGCCCAGGCCAAGCAAAACAACTTCGTAACAAATACGTGATGGAACAGCAACAGCCTCTCAAAGGCACTGTGCTTTCACCATCTGAGCAGCAAATTCTCGTACCTTTTTAGCCTGGAGAGAAGTCCAGAACTGACCAAGCACTCCCAGGACAGAAGCCTGAAGTTCTGCCTCCAGAACATCCCCAGCAAAATTGCAGGCAACCAGCAGGACAGAAAGGGCGGTATTCTAGTAGGAAAAAATGTGTAAGACAGACCAAAAAAAGCTACACATCAAACAAACCAAAACCCCAGGCTCATATTAAGCATCTGAAATGATACAAGATGGCAAGAAGCCCAATGTGCTGTGTCAGCTGTACAGTACAGCTAATCCACCAGGCCACCAGCCAATAAAGCTTCCAAAGCAAGGAAACCATCCGTTGCTTCTGTGAGTTTCACACGGTGCCGTAGTCGTTAGCTGAACTGGCAGGAGAAAGCTGGCAGCAGAGGCTTCACGTGGAAATCCCTGGTTTCTCACAGTCCTTCGCCAAGGAGAACA